TGACATGAGACAAAGTATATGTGAAGTGCTGTATGGAAAGTGAATTTGCTCTGTAAATCTTCACCCAAATCACAATAAAAAAAAAATAATAATAATTAAAATAAATAAATAAAAGCTTGCAAATAGCCATCTAGATGCAAGGATGGGTCTTTCCTTGTCCAGAGCAAAGGATGAAGAAGACCAAAGATTCATGGAAACAATTAGGCCAAGTGACTGGTACACCATGCAATCCTCAGCCTATATGACTATGAGACCAGAAGAACTAGATGGTGCCTGGCTACCACTGTCAACCACTTGGAGGGTTATCTATGTAGGAGATCCTGGATAGAGTGGGAAAACAATGTGGAACAAAACTCAAAATCATTTGAAAAAAAAAAAAAGGGACCAGGTTTTCTGGTCTGATAGAGCCTGGTGGAACCCCTGAGACTATTGCCCCTATCTGCTCTTCAGGTCTGGAATCAAACCCATTCTTATGGTTTCCAGCCAAACAAAAGACAGGCATGTGAGGTGAATGTTTGTACTAGGTAGATACACTTCTTGGAGAGAACAATCATGGGAGACTAGCAGGGCTGTGTAGGCATGGGGAGATAGCTCAGGGGGGCAGGAGTGCATGGGAGGGAAGCATACAGGGAAGAGGTAACTATGGGGAGGAAGTGGGAGCGGAGCTTTTGCACTGTGGTAAATTGTAGTCAATGTCATGAGACAAAGTGTATGTGAACTGCTGTATGGAAAGTGAATTTGGTTTATAAACTTTCACTCAAATCACAATTAAAAAAAAAATGAAACGATGTATTGCATCAGGCAAATCTGCTGCAAAAGACCTGTTTAAAGTGTTAAAAAGCAAAGAAAGATGTCACCTTGAGGACTAAGGTGTGCCTGACCAAAGCCATGGTATTTTATTTCCTATAATTGTTTCCTTATATGTATGGGAAAACTGGACAATGTATAAAGAAGAATGAAGAAGTATTGATGCCCTTAGATTATGCTATTGGCAACGAATACTGAATATACCGTGGACTACGAGAAGAATGAATAAATCTGTCTAGGAAAAAATATAGCCAGAATGCTACTTAAAAGCAAGGATAGTGAGACTGTCTCATATACTTTGGACATGTTATTGGGAGGAACCAGTGCCTGGAGAATGGTATCATGCTCGGTAGAAAGTCAGTGAAATGACCCTCAATGAGATGGACTGACATAGTGACTGTAACAATGGGCTCAAACATGGAAATCATTGTGAGGCTGCCACAGGACTAGGCAATGTTTTGTTAGTTGTACATAGGCTATGAATAGGAACTGATTTGATGGCATCAAACAACAACAATGTATCTCACCTTATATAAGATAGAATCGGTTCACTTCAAAACTTCCAAGGCCTCCTGTCTAACCCTGTTTTGAATTTCTGCTACAGTCATGCTAATGACTTTTAAGAGTCAAGAAAGATGTAAGGGTCATGCTCTCAGAAACACAGGCTTTTATTTTGACAAAGATATAGATGGTAGTGACTGTAAAAGTCTAGTATATTTAATATGTACACTATACAGTATATTAAAAAGGAGAACTTGCAGCATTTTCTTATGTTATATACAATAAAGAATCACGACCCCTTCAGGTGTTTTTGTTGTTGCTTTAGCATACACATTCTTGAATTTCTTCTTCATCCTTATTCTCCTTGACTTCAGCAATTCTGTCAAATTCTAAAAGCAGGCATATAAAGAATATCACAAACACAAAAAACTTGCTCAGCAATTACAAATTTAACTCATGGTTCTGGAAAAGGAGGTGGTTTTCTGGGTCCCGATCAGGAACTATCCTTTTTCTCTTTCTCCTTGTCCCACATCTTAGCATTTACCTTCACAGACATTGCATTGGGACTTTTAAGGCCTTCTTTTCCCCTTAGTGATCATCTAGCTACTCCTAGGAAATGACCTAGTTGTTTAAGCTGGGGTCAACGAAGAACCTTCTATGCCTATGGGTTACACATGCTGAAACATAGGGGTGATAGGGGTTGAAGAAGTTGTTCTTGTTAAAAATTTAAGGGATCCCCGTCTGCCTAGACCAGGTCTGGCACTAGTGAAAGGATTATAATTACTTTTGGAGCAAGGACCTTAACTCCTTACATCTTTGTGACTTTCCTTTACTTTAGAGATGCAGGCTTTTTACTTTAGAGATTTACTTTAGAGATGCAGCCTTTGGCTACTTGTGACTAAGAATCTGATAATATTCTTTATGAATCTCAGACAAGAGTTCCAAGGAGAAGGAGTGCTTACCTGGTATTCCTAAATGTCTTTCATCAGAGTTGTTATGCTCCAGGAAGTCTCCCTCTATCCAAATCTTGGTCAAGGAGATGTCAAAGGGCCTTAACATGTTAGTCAAAGGCATGGATTCTCTTTTTCCATACACCATTATAGATGCTTTAAGCTCAGAGACCCACTGGTGATAGACAGGGCAGGTGACACATCGAGAGAAGAACTTGTTAAAGTACTGAAAGGAAAGGAAGTTAGCTCAGGGATTTGCATTTTTGTCCATCAGAACTTACAGCAGCCCTCAATATACTCACTCAGGGCAGCAGGGACAGGGAAGAGTTGTTGATGGCAAGGTTGGCTCAAAAAGCTGGTTTGAGGATACAGAAATGTGTCTTTTAGACTCAGAAGGCAGGGCTTTAGGGAGCTATGTCAAATCATAGCTGAGCCATAGGGTCCACTGAGAAGAGCTAAATGTTAATGGGGATTTGGTAGTAGCTGCAAAAAGGGGGAAAGTTAAGGAATCCAGTCCTGATGCAGCCTCAAGACTATGTGAGAGAGCAGGTGAGGTGGGTGGAAAGACTATATTTACAGGAGGAGAAACAAAGGGCTCAAGTAGAAAAGGGAGATAAGGCCAGTGAGGAGAAGAGCGAGACACAGGTGGCAGAAAAAGTAACAGAATAACTAAATGAGGTGTTTAGTTGAAGGACAGTGGAAAACAGGTACCTTGAGGGTTTGGCTGCAAGTCTCTGGGGGTGTGCGCATGAAGACACCCTCTGGCATTTTGTGTAACATTAGCACCTGGCACTCCAGGAATCGAACAAAGCCATGTGAACCAAATAATGATGCATTGGTTCTTTTCACCAACTGGCGAGCTTTGGAGAGGTGGTGTTCAAACAGGTCCCACTGTAAATCCTGTGCAAACCTGGAGGGAAAGAGTCACAGCCACAACCATGGCTCTTTCATAAAATTGTCACTTCTTTAAGGCTCTAAGACCTTCTGAACAGTCAGAATTGTGATGCTGGGAAGTGGCCAAGGCTAATAACTCACATGCAAGGAGACTTAAAAAGAGATCTTGTCATAGGTTACTCTAGCACTTAAATGTAACACTCACTCACTCAGAAGTTTACTCTATCACTTAAACATAACCCTCAACCTATAGAACTTCATCCTCAACCCACAGAACCTTAAGTAGATGGGGGGGCATGGGAGGTGAATAGTCTTTTAAAGTGAGCTAGGCATGCTGAATTGTTCTGCCTGGAAGAGTAAATGGAAATAGCTTAAATGATCACAGGGTGTCCTTAAATTTCTACCCTTTCCCACAGACTCTGAGTGCTCCACATTACCACATGGCCAGGGAGGAGTGGACCCCCAGCATGACATTGCTCTGAGAGGTTAAAATGCAGCTGTGCTCATAGTGCTGAATGAAATGCCAACATTCCCCAAAGGGTCGACACAGCAATCCTGTGGGCAGAGAAGATAACTAGGCTAGTATATGTTGCCAAGGCAGGAACTGGGTATAGAAGGTATGTGGCACAGGGGTGAGGTGGGGGTGGGAGTAGGAAACAAGACCTGAAAGGGAGACACTCCTGAACCCCAAATGGTCCCTAGTCCTTAAGGAACCATAGACCTCAGACATGTCTGAGCGACAGACTCATGACTGCCTGTGTTCCAAATCTAGGGTCCCATTTGAGGTCTGAATCATTCAGGATACAGCAGACCTAGGGTAAGATTTACCTTTTCCATAGAGCAGCAGATCTAAGCAAGCAGAATAGAAGCAGGCCAGGCCAAGGACATCATGACCCTGGGAAACGAGTACCCACTGACTCTCCAGAACATGGACACACAGATCAAATCTGCCAAGAGACAGAGAGCCGCTGGGAGCAGTGAGGGAGTAGGGAGGGCAATACAGGAGAGGAGGGATGTTTTAATGTCCTCTACATAACTCCATTTATACATTTATATATCCTTGGAAGAAAGATGGGGCAATCTACTTCCGTAGTGATACTGCCTCGGAAACCCAAGGAGGGGTCGCTATGAGTCGGGTCTGACTCGACGGCAAACAACAACAACAACAACAACAACAACAACATAGCAAGCATCTGTACCTGTGATCAGACCTGTCTCTAGTCAAAGGAGGTGGGAAAATGTCAGGGTAGCTGCAATTCCCCACCTCCCTGCAGAAAACTGGCGGGGAGGGGACTGCCCATGAGGAAAGCCACAAACTACTGAGGAACATGTAGCAGCTCTGACTTTGCAGTGCCACTTCTGACTCCACACACTTAACATGATGCTTCTTGAGGTAACCAAGGACAAGACAACCTGACGAAATGAAACAGCATCTCCCTTTCCACTCCAAACTCCTCTGCGAGGACAAACCTACCCGTCTTAGACAACAAATACAAATGACAGAAAAATATCTTAATACTTCTTCTTTAGAAATGCAGATCTGAAGAGAACTGACAGAACCAGATTCTCCAGAGCTGGTTTCTTGACATGTCTGCATATCTCATAGGCTTGAAAACCTAAGAAGGATTAAGAGCATTGTGTGAGCGCTAGCTGTGAGCCTGGACTCTCTAAAAGTCCTAGCCCACCAGCTCCAACCACCTTACCCAGGCTGATGGAAAAGTCGAGATGGCCAAGGCAGAGTTTGGTATAGGCCAAGGCCTGCATGAGCCGTGCTGTGGCCAACAATTCCTCCCTGGAGAACCAACATATGCTGCTTTTCTGAATGGCCATCTTCTCAGAGTGCAGCCACTTTTCCTTGTCACCTATGTTTTGTGCGTACTGGGAGAGGTCCACATAGGTACAGACAATCTGTGGGGCAGCAAACATAAGCAAAATATCCCCATCTTACTTTCACACTAGATTTCTATCTTGTCCCTTTCCTTTGCTAGAGCCCACTATGGTGCCCTGTCACTCTCCCAGAAAGAACCCTTGGTGTCATCTTGACCACTTGCCTCTGCTCCAGTTATGAAAACATGCTGCTTCTGGTCCCTGCATTTCTAATTTGATCATTCTCAAAAGATCATTCTCATTTTGAAAAATCTACTTTTTTCTACTTGTCCCTCTCCTTCCTCTCTAATCCAAGACTTTTTTTCAAAACACTGGTCAAACTGTATCTTTTCTGTGTTTTCTCAAATTAAAGCCTCTGATTCTGGCTCCTTGGAACCTGCAGAACTGCCACCTTGAATCTCTATATAGCTATGTGCACATTTCACATAGTTGATAGCTCTCTTTTTGAAACACTGTCTTCAAAAGGTTTCCAGGATACCATGCTTTCTTGATTTTCCTACCACCTTCCTGGCAATTTCTTCTGTTTCTTTTGTTGGTTTTTCCTCATCACCCTCACTTCTTAGCATTGGAGATTTTAACTCAGTCTTCGGGCCTCTTCTTTTACCATGGTGACCTTGGATCAGTGTCATAGTTTTAAATATCATTCACACATGGATGAATCCAATATTTCTATTTCCAGCCCAGACCTCTTCCGTAGTGATACTGCCTTGGAAACCCAAGGAGGGGTCGCTATGAGTCGGAACAGTCTTGACGGCAGTGAGTTTGGCTTTTTTTTTTTTTTTTTTAACATCATGTATATTTTTACATATTTATTGTCAGATGTCTCTGGCACATAATTAGTATTCATCAAATATTTGTTGATGGACAGGAGAGGAAAGAGGCAGAAAGAGACAGGAAAATTAAGACACATTTTCTTTTTTTTCCTTCTTCCCCCTAAGTGAGCAATTCTAATCCTTTTAGAACAAAGATTTCTTTGAGGACCTGACAAAAGCAACAACCCCTTTTCTACTTCCCTCTAAAACCAGTTGCTGTTAAGTCAATTCCAACTCACGACAACCTCATGTGTTTCAGAGTAGAACTGTGCTTCGCAAGGTTTTTAATGGTTGTAATCTTATGGAAGAAGATCACCAGGACTTTCTTCTGAGGTACCTCTGGGTGGATTTGAACCACCCACATTCTGGTTAGCAGATAAGGATTTAATCATTTGCACCAGCACTTTAGGTTCCTGAGCGAGGTTCAGGGGTAAAGCAAGGATTTGCTCACCTGGGCTTCGTTTGCAAACTCTTCTGCTGAATTCTTCTGCATGAGAGTGGCCAGGTAGGCAAACCTGCGGTTGCTGGCTGTGACCTCCAGATTATAGAGCTTCCAGAGCAGGGAGAAGCAATGTACCTGCTGCTGCAGGACTGCCAACTTCTTCTTACTGTTATGAAGCACAGGGAGGTTAGCACAACTTTATTCTGTACAACTGCCCACCTGTACCTCCCACAAGAAATTCACCTCTACTCAACACAGGGCCATCTATGGACTTCCAAATTCAGAAATATTCCTGGGATCCCACTGTTGTAACCCTATTATGACATTTTAATTCTTTCCTCTTGACCAAAAAAGTTTAAAGAGAGGCATTTTTTTAAAAAAGTTCATTCTTTGAATTTCTATTTTAGTTGAATATATTTCCTATAAATTATTACAGTTTAATAATTAGATAGCAATTTAATATTGTTTCTTTGCTATATATACATATAGTTATATATATTGTTATACATATATCCATGTATGTTGTTGTTGTTGTTATGTGCCGTCAAGTCGGACCCGACTCATAGTGACCTCTCCTTGGGTTGCCGAGGCAGTATCACAATGGAAGTAGATTGCCCCATCTTCCTTCTGAGGAGTGGCTGGTGGGTTTGAACTGCTGGTCTTCTGGTTAGCAGTCAAGTGCCTTAGCTACTGTGCTACCAGAGCTCCCATATCCATGTATATGTGTAATAAATAAAGATACATATATACATATCAAACCACAAACCAAACTCACTGCCATTGAGTCAATTCCGACTCACAGCAATCCCCTTTGGGTTTCTGAGGCATTAAATCTTTCTGGAAGTAGATTGCCCAATCTTCCTTCCATGGAGTGGTTGGTGGGTTTGAACCACCAACCTTCTGGTTAGTAGTCAGATGTTGTAGGCACTATGCCACCAGAGCTTCTTATATATACACATATATGTATCTTATTTGTTCTCAAGAATTTCATTTTACTAGCTCTGGTAGCATAGTGCCTAAGGCACTTGACTGCTAACCAGAAGGCTGGCGGTTCAAACCCACCAGCCACTCCTCGGAAGGAAGGTTGGGCAATCCTACTTCCGTAGTGATACTGCCTCAGAAACCCAAGGAGGGGTCGCTATGAGTCGGGGCTGACTCGACGGCAAATAACAACAACAACAACAGGATCTGCAATAAACACCCATGGAAGCAGCAGTCAAGAAATCAAACAACATATTGCATTGCACAAATCTGCTGCAAAAACCTCTAAGTGTTAAAAAGCAAAGATGTCACCTTGATGATTAAGATGCACCTGAGCCGAACCATGGTATTTTCAATTGCCTCAATATGCATATGAAAGATGGAAATGAATAAAGAAGACTGGAGAAGAGTTGATGCCTTTGAATTAGTGTTGGCAAAGAATAGTGAATAAACCATAGACTTTCAGAACAACAAACAAATCTGCTTAGAAGAAGTACAGCCAGAATACTCCTTAGAAATGAGGATGGTGAGATTTTGTCTCACGTAGTTTGAACATATTATCAGGATGGACCAGCCCCTGGACAAGGACATTATGCTTGGTAGAGGGTCAGCAAAAAGAGGAAGATCCTCAACAAGATGGACTGAAAAGTGGCTGAAACAATGGGTCAAACATAGCAACAACTGTGAAGATGCAGGCCTGGGCAGTGTTTCATTCTGTTGTACACAGGGTTTCTATGGCTTGGAACCAGCTTGACAGCAACTAACAACAACAGTAACATCTTTATTCAAAGGAGACAGAGTAACACTATTCTTCAAAAACAAAAGGAGACCTTATTCTGCTACATGTACTTGGCTGGAGAAGTAAGGTGGAAGACCTAGAAATGTCAACTGTATGTGACAAAAAAATGAAAAGAGGAGCTTGGGGTCAGTATAAGCAGTTTTAGGTTGAGCTAGTTTATAGTTTAGGTGCAGTTCTCTGTGGCCCTAAAGTGGACCAGTGCAATTTGGCCTGGCTTCTCACTTCTCACTAGGGTTGTTTGTAGGTTTGCTCAGGAAACAGGAATGCCAACATTTTTCCAGGAATGTTTGGAAAAGGACACCAAACCAAGTCCAAGGGAAATTCCTTTTCAGCAGTCGAAGGGCTTGCCTAGCCAATTTTTTGGCCAAGGTGATCTGTCCCATGTTGAAACAGACCTGGAGATGGAAAATGAGAAACAATAATGTAAATGTGGAAAGAATACCATGGACATAGTTCTGAATATCAAACACTGGCTATTTCATTTTGGGACGTGTCGTCGAACTCATTGAGGTGCTAGTGTGAGCTGGATTGGAGCAGAGCCTGGCCAGCATTCATATTAACTAACAAGCACCAGTGGGCCAGAAGCAAGTAAGGTGAGAAAACAGAATAAAAGAGAAGGCATCCTCCTTTCTTATATTCCACCCCTTTGGCAGTAAGTGGTAGAGAAAGGCTGTGGTTTAGAAAGAGATCCTGCTGGACTAGGATGGTATAGTCATTTAGGTAGAGACTCAGTTGCTGCTTTCAGATGCCACAGAAATGATCGGAAGTATCATCAAAACCCCCATTGGTCTTCTTTAACAGGTCGTACCACCGTAGTGACAAGGGTGGGGGCTGAGGAACTACCTTCAGGTTATCCCAAGGAAGCAAAAATGTTATATGATTCTAGAATAACCTTCTTATAAAGGGAAATAACTATTTCATCTTGCTCCAGAGACCTCTTGGTTAAAAGCACAAATAATGCAACACAGTGGACAACTCGAATAGTCCCATTGGTATTCAAGTGCATTATACACATTTGGTTTACTTTCCTAACCAGATTATTTTAAGGTTTACATTAAATTAAGATTATATATATTCCAATGAGCAAAGGGCATCAATGGACATTTCACAGAAACATAATTATGTATGACCAATAAACATATGAGGATGTTTCTTATTAAAATACCATATAACTTTCATTTCTAAATTGCTTTCATTTCTAGGTTACCAAGTTTAAAAATACTTATAATATCTAATGTTGGCAAGAATATGAAGAAATATGAAAAAATAAAAACAATATAATATTTTTAATTGGCAATTTGGCAATATATTTATTAAATGTAAAACTGTCCATTACTTCTGCCTTAGCATCTCCATCCTTGGAAATTTCTCTTACGGAAGCATTCTCACAAGGGAAGAAAAAGAAATTTATAAGAATATTCACTGGAGCAATGTTTATAATAACCAAAAATTAGCCAGGACCTAAATGTGCATTAAGGGGAGAATGGTTACACAAACTATGATATATCCATCAATGGAGTACTTGCACCTGTTAACCATGTGATGGCTATGTATGTACACCAATATGCAAATATGTTCAATCATAATGATATGACTGTGTGTGTGCAGTTGGTGGAAGATGCGCCAAATTACTAATTATGGTATGGGTTTAGCAAGGGCTCTCCCTGGAAATTTGCTTCTATAAAGATTATAGCCTAGGAAATCCTATGGGGCAGTTCTACTCTATTCTTCAGGGTTGCTATGAGTCAGAATTCATTCTACAGCTCACAATAACAACCCTCTACATTGTATATGCCTATGTTTTGAATTTATATAACCTTTCACCACATTTAGAATTATACATGCACACACACATGCAAAGATTTCAAAAGAAATAATAGGGTAACTCTCAAAGGAAATAACCAAAGTGTCAGGGTTATCCTCTCTTTTACCTCTGACCGAAGACTGCAAAAAGTGGCCTCCTCAAACTGACAGACCTTCACCTTGTGCTTTTTCAAGAATGAGAAGGCTGAGGGTTGTCCCAGAAGACTGCTTGCCTTCCTCAAGTAAAAGAAGGCCTCCAGACAAGACAAACAGGTGGTAGGGATGAAGAAACAAGATTAGGATTAGGATGTTTCTACGGATGCAATTAGGGTAAGGGCTGGAGCAAGGTTATGATGATGGTCAAGGTTAGAATGTGAATCAGAGTTGGATTTAAAGTTAGAAATGGGACTGGAGTCCTCATGCAGGGATCAGAGAGAGGCAGGGATGGCAGTAGTTGGTGCTTTTCATTATCATACTCATTTGTTTTTTTCTAAACCTCTTCTACTTCCTTTTCCCTCCCACTTTCCTCTACTCTTCACTCAAGGTTATTTGATTGAAATCCCAATCAAATTCCCCAAGTAAATGGGCTTAGCTCGGGGCAGAGAGCTGAGTTTGCTCACCATATAATTATCTGCCAGGTCCAAGGAGGCAGCCGCAGCCTCCAGCAGGTAATAAAATGCACAACTGGTTTCTCCAATGACCAAGCAGTGCAGGGTGAGGGGTGAGAGCACTAGCTTCAGAATTTCCTCACAGTGACAGGACTTTGTGGTCAACATGTCTTTCTCAGGGCTGGTCTGAGCCAGCATCCTGTTCACTCGATCCAGGAACTCTTCCTCTGTTCTTTGTGGAGAGAAGAACTGAGAGTGACCACAAAGCTGACACTTTTCCCACAGTATTACCCAGGTCTCCAAGTCATTTTTTTCCAGGAAGCTTTCCCATATAATTCAGTAATTCTGTGTCTATTTTCCTCCACTATCCCATAAGTTTTTGAAAGTCAAACACCAGGTCTTTAACTACAAAGCTCTATTAGGTATTTAAAAAAACCTAAAGCCAATTCAAGCACTCAACAATCTAACTGGGAAATCAACACACCTGAAGAGGTAAATGAAAGCATAAAAATGACACAAAACTGTAATATATTTTTATAGTAGCCTTGATATATTAGCTTACCTGAGTTTTATAATAGCACACTTGAATATGACTTTACATAACACTATTACCTGATCACTTCATCTGATCCTACAACAATTCTGCAGTTCAGGCAGTCAAAAATTATTATCTATCTTTTACAGATGAGGAAATGGAGGCTCAGAGAGACTAAGTGACATGGCCTCACAGCTACTAAGAAGTACAACCAAAACTAAAGCTCATTTCTTCTGACTACTAGTCCAATGGACTTTTCACAGGCACCCTGAGGTAAGACCTCTCTGAGGTAGAACAAAACTCAGGTAGGAACAGAAAAGTGGGAACCAAAGAGGACCTTGAAGGACAGAGAAAATTCTGATAAGTGGAGAGAGGTGAAGGTTATTTAGCATTTTAAAAAAGGAGAGTTATATCAGCAATCAGAAACCCAATGAGGGGTCTCTATGAGTTGGATCTGACTCAACGGCAATGAGTTTGGTTTGTTTTTTGGTTTGTCAGCAAAGACGTACACAAGTGAGTGAGGTGGTGGTTCATGAGAATAGATTTTTGTTTGAGAACAGTAGGAAATCAGGTTGGATAAGTGAAATTGGGGAACTGTATATAGAATAGATGTGAATTCAAGGTGAGGACATTTAAAATTGATGGGATAAGTATTAGAGAACTAGGAAATACGTAGGAAACAAATTTATTTTGATATCATCTGGGGCTAAAAGTATTTGAGAAGGCAAATTTGTAAGTGAAAAAAAATCTGCTATGTGTGCAATGCATTTGAAAACCATTAAATATTTTTAATTAACCACTAAGATATAATTTTCCTACAGAAAACTGACTTTCCAAATCTTCTGTTAACTTACTTCTGCACTAAGTATAAGAATCAGTACTCTGGGTGATAAAATACCTGCCCTGGTATGTGGGTAAGATGTGTGCCCCAGTTTAATGGTGATCTCAGTTTCTGGTCTCCTCCATGCCCACCCTCAGCATCTCTACTTACCTGCATGGATCACTTGAGAAGGTCTCCTGTCTGTTGAATGGTTTTGTCTGGAACTGAAAACTATCTGTAGGGAGAAAAAGAAGATTATTTTTAATTATCCATGTTAGGATTATTTCAGAACACTTTAAAATTCCTGACTACGTTTCCTCCACAGTGCAGCTTATGACCTACCTGCCCTATTATAAGTAGTTTTAATATTAAATTACGACTATTTGTGATCCAAATAGTTGTTGTTAGGTGTTGGTAAGTCATGTCCAATTCACAGTGACCCTGTGTACAACAGAACAAAACACTGGCTGGTCCTGCACCATCTCATAATTGTTGCTATGTTTGAACCCATTGTTGTAGCCCCTGTGTCAATCCACTTCATTGAGGGTTTTCTTCTTTTATGTTGACCCTCTACTTTATCAACCATGTTATCTTTCTCCAGGGATGTTCTGGTTACCTAGTATACTTCTGGTTACCTAGTATATTTCTGACAAGAAATATACCACAAATGGGATGGCCTTAACAAACAGGAGTTTATTCTTACAATTTGGAGGCTTTAAGTCCAAGTTCAAAGTGCTAGGCTCTAGGGGCTGGGTGAAAGCCCCTCAACCTTGGGGACCAGCTCTGCCTCCTGCTCCTGGCCCACTGGAGCTAGAGGCTTTTCTTCACTCAGACAGCTGCTGGCTGCTAAGGCTGAGAAACCCCAAGGTTGACAAGTAAAAAGGCACAGTCCTGATGTTAACACACGACAGGCCATTGACTTAAGCCCATTGTAAGTTCCAAGGTCGGCAGAGCATGGCAGGCTGCTGAGCAACGACATGGCTACATGCAGGGTCCAAGCGTGCCAAAGGGTAGAGACCATTACCAAGGCTTCTCCTTAAATACAGGAAGCAGACCACAATCCCAAAGGCAGCTACTCAGCTGCTTGTGGTAGATCCCACCATGGAGCTGACTGACAGTCTCATCATGGGGAATAACTATCACTAGCTGCCCAGCCACTCAACCAGGCCTAGCCAAACAGAACTACCACACAAACAGAACTACCACAAGGGACAAGTGCCTCCTGATAACATGTTCAAAATACATGAGACAAAGTCGCATAAACATTGCTTCTAAGGAGCATTCTGCCTATAGCTCTTCCAGGACAGATCTGTTCATTCTTCTGGCAGTCTTATGGTATTTTCAATATTCTTTGTTAACACCATAATTCAAAGGCATCAATTCTTCTTTGGTCTTCTTTATTCAATGTCTAGCTTTCACATGAGTATGAAGCAATTGAAAATACCATGGCTCGGGTCAGGTACATTGTAGTCCTCAAGGTGACATCTTTGCTTTTTAACACTTTAAAGAGGTCTTTTGCAGCAGAATTGCCCAATGCAATGATACATCACTTAATTTACTAATTGCTGTTTTCATGGGCATTGATTGAAGATCCAAGTAAATTAAATCCTTGGCAACTTCAATCTTTTCTCCACTTATCATGCTGCTACTTATTGGTCTAGTTGTATTTCTGTTTTCTTTATGTTGAGATGTAATCCACACTGAAGGCTACAGTCTTTGATCTTCATGAATAAGTGGTTCAAGTTCTCTTCACTTTCACCAAACATGATTGTGTCATGTGTGATCTGCGTATCACAGGTTATTAATGAGTCTTCCTCAAATTTTTATGCTGTGTTCTTCTTCATACAGTCTAGCTTCTCAGACCATTTGCTCAGCATACATACTGAATAAGTATGGTGAATAGATACAACCATTACGCACACCTTTCCTGATTTTAAACCACTCAGTATCTCCTTGTTCTGTCTGAACTGTCTCTTGGTCTACATGCAGGTTCATGAGCACAGTTAATTCCCATTCTTTGTGATGTCACTTATAATTTTTTATGGCCCAAATAGTCAAATGCTTTCGCATAGTCAATAAAACACAGGTAAACATCTTTCTGATATTCTCTGCTTTCAACCAAGATCTGACATCAGCAGTGATATAGCCTGTTCCATGTCCTCTTCTGAATCCAGCTTGAATTTCTGGTAGTTCTCTGTCAAGAGCCAAACAGTTCACTCCCCTTATAACTAACCCTTCAAAGCAGTTCCCAACTCATAGGAAGCACTCAATGTCTGCTAAAAGAAGGAAAAAAATGAATAAAGAATTTGTCTATGCTGGATTGATGGCTACTTCTAATAGTGGAAATTCTTGACTATGTCTGGATAAGGTTCATAACTAGAACAGAGTAAACCACAGAGACTAAGACTCAGTAAAGAAAATCATGAGAGGAGTAGATGTCACAGTCCACTATAATCACAGTAACCAGTAGAGATTTTTAGCTTTACCTAGCTGGCCTTAAATAGTCTTTATCCTCCAGATTTGATTCTTCTTCCGCAGCTACCACTCACAGATCAAAACAACAAATACTTAGAATGATGTTGCTGTTTTATCTAATTGGGATCAGAGGTATGGGTGGTGGGATTTAAGAGGCATCTAAGAGAACTGTTATAAGAAGAATTTGTGTCAAGCAAAAGAGGGCTCTCTGATGGTAATAATTGGTAATGGTGTCAAATAACAGCTGAGATAACTGCTGCAGTGCACAAATTCAAGGAGCACCATCACATCCTAGTGACTGTGAATAGCAGAATAGTTCTGCAGGGCCTGGTCTGCATGGCTGTGCACAGAGGTCGTAGGTCTGGGAAGCCCTTTCAGGATTCAGCTGTGCTGGAAACATTTTGAGTCTCTCTTATGTAGAATGATCATGCTGTCTAATTTAAAACTGACACTGACCACTCAAAAGCAAAGAGCCATACAGGAAATGTGAATGACAGCACAATTTCTTCACGATATCAGACCAGGATATTCACTGTTACTTTCCTCTTCCCCTGCTTAAAGTACAAAAAGAGTAGTTGCTATCATTTTAGATGAAGTTTCTTACAAGGTTGTGAATATCTTTTGTGGGAAATCTCTGGAAATATTTTTATTTATAAAACATAAGACTATTTCAGGTTTGCTGGTCTGATAGAGCCTGGTGGAACCACTGAGACTATGGCCCCTAGCTGCCCTTCATGTCTGGAATTGAACCCACACCTGTGGCTTCCAGCCAAACAAAAGAAAGGCATATGAGTTGAACACTTACCTGAGGTAGATACTCTTCTTGGAGAGAACA